CTCACTGCTTCAGAACAGTCTCTCCCTCCCCCTGCCACTCAGTCCGGTTCCTCAACTCTGCCTTTGATGTTCAGGGCTCCCAGACTGCCATATATAATCAAATCAGTTTTTTTTTCAGGTCTTTGTTGTAAGAGGGTCCACGGGAAGCATGTGACTACTCCGCCATCTTGGCCCTGCCTCCCGCTGGAACTTTTTTTTGTCTTCACCTCTTTGCATTTCCAGTTTGCCAGCTTCATCAATTCCGAGTCTGGAATATATGACATCCCGTTTCATTCTTGATACTAGTGATTTGTATCTTCTCTCTTTTCTTTGTCAAGATGATTGACCTTTTTAGAAAACCAGCGTTTGTTCCATTAGTTTTCTCTGTTGTTTTTCGGTTTTTAATGTCATTGGTTTCTGTTCTCTATTGTTTCCTGTTGTCTTTGCATTGGGTTTATTTACTCCTCTCGTTTCTTGAGAGGATAGCTTAAGGTTATTGATTTGAGAGTCGTTTCTAATATAAACCATTAGTGCCTAAATTTTCCTCTCAGCGCTGTTTTAACTGCTCCCCACAGATTTTGATTTGTTGCGTTTTTATTCAACACATGTATACCACGTAATGAATTTCTAGGTCATGGGATAGGTGCAAGTTTCATTTCATCAGAAGCTGCCGAATAGTTTTCGAAAACAATTCTAACCAGCAATAACTTAAACTCCATACCTTGTCAGCACTTTGTGGACTATGTCTTTTAAATGTTGCCTCTTCTGGTGGGTGTGTAATGATATCTCATTGAGGTTTTTTTTGTTTGTTTGTTTCATTCTAGGTGATTTTTAAAAAAATTTTAACTAGTAGTTGTTGTAGAGATTATATACAGCAAAACAGGTGTGGGAGCCCTGCTGCTGCAGTGGTTAAGCATTCAGCTGCTAACCAAAAAGTTAGCAGTTGGAATCCACCAGCCACTCCATGGAAACCCTATAGGGCAGTTCTACTCTGTCCTATAGGGTCGCTATGAGTCAGAATTGACTCGATGGCAACAAGTTTTTTATTTTTGGTAAATGCAGGTGTATATATAGGTAAGTGTATGCATCCATGTATACTCATATATACAATAAAGTACATGGGTGGCACAAACAAGGATACTTATTAAACACCTTGTGGGATTGGTTCATGGGGTCTAATGACTTAGGACCATAGTCTTGTGGGACAACTCAGTCAACTGGCATAATATATTACGTTAAGTTTATGTTCTACATCCTAGTTTGATAAGTAGCGTCTGGGGTCTTAAAAGCTTGAGAACGGCAATCTAAGATACAACTATTGCTCTCTATGCATCCAGAGCAAAAGAGAATGAAGGAAACCAAAACTCAGAGAAGAAACTAGTCCACAGGACTAATAGTCTACATGGACTCAGACCTCAAGTACCCTGAGACCAGAAGAACGAGATGGTACTTGGCTACCACTATCAACCGTTCTGATCAGGAACACAATAGATGGATTCTGATAGAATGGGAGCAAAATGTGGAACAGAAGTCAAATTCTTAAAAAGTCCACACATACTGGACCAGTAGAGACTGGAGGACTCCCCATGATGATCACTCTGAGATACTCTTAAACCTTCAACCAAAACTATTCCATGCAGTCATCATCTTGCTAAATAATACAGTAGCTCATAAAATAAACACTATCAACCATGAGTACTGTACTCCTTAAAAAAAAAAAAAATCATCAGTATGAGACCAAAAGGTCAACACTTACTTTAAAGCAAAGACGAGGAGGCAAGGGGCAGGGAAACTAGATTACTGGAAATGGAACAACCAGATGGAAATAATGAGAAACTTGACATTCTGTGTAAAATGTAACCATTGCTACTGAACCAAATTGTGTAGAAATTGTTAAATGGGAACCTAATTTGTTGTATAAACTTTCATAGAAAACACAATAAAATGTTATTTTTTAGAAAAGAATATAATGCTCAAGGCAGATATTTTTTACTAATTAAGCTATTGTTTGGTTTTAAGAGGACTTCAGGGGTTATTTTTGGTTTAAGGTTTCAAGATTATCTCAGGCAATAATTTCAGGGTTCATCCACCCTCCATAGCTCTAGAGAGTCTGGGAGAGAGTGTGGAGTCCATGAGAATTTGAAATTCTGTTCTGCATCCCCCCCTCCCCCCTCCCCTCTTTGATCAGGATTCCTCTACAGAATCCTGGATCAAACCCATCAGTAAAGGTAGCCCAGCACCATCCAGTTCTTTGGGTCTCATGACAAAGGCAGCAGTCGTTCATCACTGAGCTTTTAACTTGTTTCCCTAATGAGTAATGATGTTGAACATACTTTCTTGTGTCTTTTGGCCATTAAGAAATCCTCTTTCATGAAGAAAGCCTGCTCAAGTATTTTATTCATTTTTAATTGGCTTGGCTTTTTATTTTTACTTTCTAAAAATTTTCTATGTACTCAAGATTTGAGTCATTTTTTGGATGTTTTCCTTACTTGTTTCTAACCCCAAAATTTGTGAACTCTTATGGTTATTTATAATTTTCTCTTTTTTTCTGGGAAAAAAGAGTCGTATGAAGATTCCTAATTTGCTACACTGTTTGTTAGGTGCAATGTTGGAAATTAAAAGTTGAACAAGGGTTGACTTTTTCTGCATATGTAAGAAGATGCGGGAAGAGGCTGAGATACAGAATGGGAAAAAATAGGCTAGAACAAGAAAACTGATTTTAGGGTTTGGTAGTGAATGTCAGATTTTGTCTGCTTGTCATTTGTTTATACCTAATTTTTCTTTGTCACGTTTGTAATATGACACAGGTGTGCTTGATTTACTTGTTCTATATATTTTAAATTAAATGCGTATGCATGTCTAAATAAAATGACTATTATTCTTCAAATATTCATTAGTGAACCTCCTAGACTCATCTCACCTAGACTCACCTAAGGTTCCACAGACTGTGCTTGAGGCCCCACCCATGTAGGAGGTGGTGGAAAAGTGGGAATAAATTAAAGGGATGGGAGGAATGTGACAGTCTCAACAGTAGTTGCTTTCCCCACTGTGGTGGTTTTCATATTTGCTTCACACCTAATTTTTTCTTCAAACAAGGGTAATTGAAAACATAATTCAGTTTCATTCTTGGAATCCACAGAAATTTGGGGTAGGGAAGTCCAAGTGCTGCTCAACTGGGACAACTGGGGATTGCTTACTCAGTGGCAGGCCAAGGGTGTGTCTTTTTGCTTTGGCAACTGCAGATGGGACTCAACTCAACTTCACCAGCCACTAGAGGACTAGATTCCAGAGGAGGCCACTTCTTGGTAACTTAAAAAATGGAAATGTCATAGGATTTCCTCCCTTCCTTTATTGTATTTTCCACCTTTCTCTCCTCCAAGAGGAGAGGATTCACGACCTTGCTTTCCCAAAAGCAAACCTCTGGAAATCGTGCTGGCATAGTGGTTAAGTGCTGTGGCTGCTAACCAAATAGATAGACAGTTCGAATCCACCAGGCACTTCTTGGAAAGTCTATGGGGGCAGATCTACTCTGTCCTGTAAAATTCTCCCATGTGTCCTCCCTCCCCTGCCTGGGTGTCTCTAGGGCCGCACCTGATGAATGTCATAACTTTCGGCCCCCGCCCTGTAGGACCGAGAGGAGCGTCGAGAGCAGCGAATGCCAGGATGACTGCCATCTAACCATGCTGGCCCGCATGAAAAGTGGAAAACGTGGCCCCTGAATTTTCTTTTTTCCAGGCTGAACCGAAAGAAACATGAGGTTCTGAAAGATAAGAACTTTACTGAGTGGGCCCAGCCCCCTGCCTGGCACTCAAGGACAAGCGTAAAAGAGGCTAATTTAAAAGACCAAATTAAAAATAAAAAGAAAAGAAAGAAAAACTTTTGTCCTCGATTCCATTCCGACTCATAGTCACCCTATAGGAAAAAGCAGAACTGCCCCACCAGATTTCCAAGGAGCCGCTGGTGGAGTCCAACTGCCCACCTTTTGGTTAGCAGCCGACCTCTTAAATACTGTGCCACCAGGGTTCCAATCCTAAACAGAGAGCCCAGAAAAGAGTACAATGGTGTCGCCAACACCAGGATACCGAGGTCTGAAATCCTGACCTCTGAGTGAGCAGAGACCACGAATTCAATCGATCCCGCACCTTCATCAAGAGACTCCTTAGTTCAAGTTCGGAGACCAAGAACAAGAGGGATTGTGCACATCAATAGTTCTAACAAGGGGGCGATTTCGTCCCCTGCCCTACTCGCTGCAATATTTGGCCATGTCTGGAGGCATTTCTGATGGTCATGACTTGGTGGTGATGGTGGGGGGGATCCTACTGGCGTCTAGCGGGCAAAAGTCAGGGATGTTGCTACACATCCTACATTGCACGGGAGAGCCCTCCACAATAATGATCTGATCCAGAATATTAATAGTGCCGAGGATGAGAAACTCTGTAGATCAGTGTCTACACTTGACGGATGAGACATTACTAATTGCTGACTTATTGGATATGGAGTCTGATGAACATACCGGCCTGAGCATATGGAAGGATGGAGTTGCCATGAAATAAAATGGGAAAAGTGCAGCTGCAGCAGGTTTTAGGGGCACATCCAGTTCAGTGACCCTGCTTGAAAGAGTTTTCCATCCAGGCTATCTCCGTTCCTGCATCCATCGGAGTCCTTTGTGATGTTGGAGACCCCGGGGGCTCTGTGCTGGGGCCCTTCTCACCCTGGGTGTCCTCCCTTCCCACCTCCTACCGGCAACCTGGTCCACGGTTGTGCACTGTTCCAAGCGCTGTTGCCTCGCAAAGGCATATCTCTAGGTCCGTTTGAGGCGAGGCCGGGACAAGCCAATTTGCTCTGAGTTGTGGACCTTGCGAGATTGGCAGGTGTGTCACTGGACCGCCAGAGCGCTTGGTGCCTGCGTGGGGGCTCGCTGTTTGTATAAAGCAGGAGGAGGCCGGCCAGGGCTTCCCAGAACTCAGCACAGGGAGCGTTAGTCACTCCCTGAGGATTCAAGAAAAACACGCAGGTGTAAGTCCCTGATGGTCTAGTGGTTAGGATTTGGCGCTTTCACCGCCACGGTCCCGGTTCGATTCCAGGTCAGGAAAGAGTTTTGCACTATCTATTATCACGCAGAAGAGTCTTGCTGGCGCAATGGTTAAGCGCTCGGCCATTAACCGAACGGTTGGCGGTTGCAACCCACCAGCTGTTCTGCGAGAGGAAAGACCTAGTGATCTGCTCCCTTAAAGATTAAAAAAAAAACTAAACCCATTGCTGTCGAGTCGGTTTCGACTCATAGTCTGTCCTATAAGACAGAGTAGAACTACCCCATAGCGTTCCCAAGGAGTGCCTGGTAGATTGGAACTGCCGAGCTTTTGGTTAGCAGCCGTAGCTCAAACCACTGTCACCACGGTTTCCATCCATTAAAGATTACAGCCTGGGAAACGCTAGGGAGCTCTTTTACTGTCATAAAGGGTCGCCATCAGTCGGCATCTATTCGAGGGCACACAGCAGTCACGCAGAAGAATCTTCCTCTTTATTTTTGGAATTGTGGTGCGCTGCAAGAATCAGATGCAGAAGAGCCCCCGCACAGAATCTCAAAACTCCGTCAAAGGAGAAGACAAAGAAGGCAAGCCGGCAGCTTGTGGGGAGGTGATGGCGCGATCCTGGGCAGTGGACGAGGTTGGGGGTGAGAGGGAGGGGAAAATGGGAGGAGAGAAGCCCAGGTTGAGAAGGGCCTAGCAAGGGCTCTTTATCTCGGAAAAAAACGCGGGAGGGGGGGAAGGGGTGGGAACGCATATGTACAAACTGAGACACCTTGGATGGAAATCTCTTTCAATCAAGGCCTTGGGGCCTGAAATGAACTGCGAATGTCGCTCTAAAATCTTCTGCAAGCGCAGTTTTTCCATGTTAGTTGATGGCAACTCCATCCTTCCAATGCTCAGAGCACCAACTTGAGTTCTCCTTGACGCCGATCTCCCTCAGACTCCACATCTAGTTAGTCACGAATTCGTGTTTTCTTGCCGGTGAAGCGTGGACGTTGGCCCACACAATCCTTGACTTTTGTATCCCTGAACTGAGCAAAAGAGTCTCCTGATGAAGGGGAGATCAATTTAACTCCAGACCCTCGGCTCGCTCACACCTTAGGGTTGGAGACCTTAGCATCATCGGGATCGTGGGGTTGGCCTGCCCTTGTGCCTGTTCTTTGTCTCTGTCACTGAAAAACAGCCTCTTCCTGGCCTGTCCTCGAGGCCCAGGGACAGATGGGAGAACTCTCGGCGCAGCTCATCTTGCAGGTGGGGAACCCCACACCCTTCGGGTTCAACCTGCAGAGAAGCTTGAGACCGTGCTGCACTGTTTGTCCGAACCCTGCCAAAAACAGGTGTGTGCTGTGCAAGGTCGCCCTCGGTAAGTTGAGGTTACCCTGGCACTGGCTACTCTTTCTGCTCCTGTAAGGGAAGGACAACTGGTCCCTTTGTCCTGTCCAGAAAGAACACTAAAGGGACACCCCGAGAGAATAGCGGTGAATCCTTTCCTCTTGGAGGGTGGGAGAGGTGGGAGAGAAATCAAGGATGGAAGGAAAGGGGAAAACCATGTTATGAAATTTCCCGATCGCAAGCTACCTTGGTCAGCTTCCTCTGGAACTGGGCGCTCTGTCCCTGGGGGAGATGAAGGGGCGATGTAGTCCAGTTGTATCCCCATCTCCAGTATGAACCAAAGCTGAACAAGGCCAAGCACCAGGTCCTGGTTTCCAGTGAGCAAGCAAGTTCGTGCCTTTCCCAGGGTGGGAGTACTTGAACTTTGGGTATGAAAGCAACACGGTAAGCACTGCCCTAAGTACAGCAACTGCGGGAGAAAATGGCACATTCTTTCCAACCGATTTTTGTTGTTGTTGTTTGTTTGTTTAAACTTAATTTTCAAAGGATGAAAATGCTGAGGCCCATAAAGTTTAAGACATCTATGCAGGCCATACAAAGGCTGAATCAGATTCCTAACCCAGAGCTGCGTTCATGAGCACAGACTAGAATAGGTCTCACTCATTCTCCTTTTCAGTTTTTTTCTGGGTTTCTCAGCTACAGAAAAGGACAGAGGCAATGTCAGAGACAGAGGAGGGATAAGAAGGAGAGAGAGGGAAGCATGGCCACTGTAGCTGCCAAAGAGCAGAGCAAGTAACTACTGTGAATGTTTCTGCAATATAGGCAAGATTTCTGTGAGGCCATGGAATTGGTAGCCAACAAGCTTACTGTGATCAGGAGAAGAATCTGAGATGTCAAAGATTCAAAAATTAAAACAAAATTGGTAAAGATCCTAGTAGAAAACTTAGGAGAATACATTCACCATACTGGGGTAAAAAGATTTCTTAGAAAACACAATAGGCCTTAAATAAAAATAAAAAAATAAAAATTTACAGATATATTGGATTTCATTGAAATTAAAAGTTTCTACTCATGAAAAACCACCTAAGAAAGTGAAAAGGCAAGCCATGGACTGGGAGAAGATATTTACAACACAATTATCTGCAAAATGACTCAAATCTTGAACAGAACTCTTAGAGATCAGTAATAAAAAGCCAAGTCAGTTAACAGTGTGCAAAATATTGAATAAACTTTCTTGAGAAAGGAGGATTTCTAAATGGCCAAAAGGCTTAGAAAACAAGCTCCACATCGTTACTCATTAGGGAAACACAAATTTAAACCATGAAAAGATACCATTACAAACCCACCAGAAGATACATTTAAAGACAGAGAACACCTAGTGCTGACAAGAAGGTGGAACAACTGCGACCGACTTTGCTGGTGAGAAACGTTCTAGAGGACTGTTGGACAGTTTCTAACAAAGCTAAACGTGCACCTGCCCCTTGACCCAGCAATTCCAGTACTTGGTGCACACTCAAGGGAAATGGATGCACATGTCCACACAAAGACTCAGACAAGCATACTCACAGCGGCCTTTTCACAACAGCCGAAACAAGGAATAACCCAAGTGTGCATCAACTGTGGTGTATTCACACACTGGAATTACACTCATCAACAATACCACAATTAAGAAGTTATAAACCGAAAAACATAGATATATCTCGAAAACATAATGTTGTGTGGAAAAAAAAAAGAGCCAGATAAAAAAAAAATGTGTATTCATTCATGTGAATTTTAAGACTAGGCAAAACTAATCACTGGTGGGAGACCTCAGAATAGTGTTTAATTAAACAGGGGAGGAGATGGGGGATGGCGATTACCTGAAAATGGTTTCCTTGGACCTTGCTGGGTTGATGGAAACTTCTATAACTTGATTTCATTTGTCAAAAATTCAGTAATTGTGAAGACTTCCGGCAAAATGGCACTCTAGGTAGAAGCACCACGTTGTCCCTCCACAGCAAAAATCAAAAAAACTAAGCCAAACAGAGAAAACAACAATCTTGGAACCCCAAAACATCAAATGAAGAAATAAAGAACTCAGGCAAGCACCAAATGAAGTGAGAAAACTGACAGAGAACAGAGAGTGAGGAGAGATTCATGCAGAGGTCACCTATCAGCTAACACAGCACGGATCCGCCATCTTCGACTTCTATTGGAGACCAGCAAACAGTGGGTAGGAGAAAGCAGATTCAGGGAGCTTCCAGAGGGAGACAAAACAACCGGTAATTTGCGATATACGCTTTCCCACCCCCCACGCTTCTTCACCCCGACTCGGCCTCCTCTGCTTCCCGCGGCAACAATCTCTTGTCCGGGAAGCACCGGCTGCTTGGATTCCACCCACCCGAACGGGCCAGCTCTCTGAGTGCCATTTGTTGGCTGCTGGTGTTGCTTTTTTCCGCTTCTTTTGATTTCTTCCTTACCTCTCACCACCTCCCCCTCCTTTCGC